AGCAATATTGGAAGCTCTGGGTACGGCGGCGTCATCGATGATAGCCTTCGCGGACCTGGCTCGTCAGGCGGGGGCAGGCCCCCCGCTCGTCGACTACCTGACGGCGAAGGGCTTGGACCGCACGGCGACCCTCGCGCTCATCGTCGACAACGTCCCCGACTTGGTCCGCCAGGTCGTCGAGCCGTTCACGGCGGGGTGCACCATCAACGGCGTCGACCACTCGGCGCGGCCCGAGCACCACGCCACCGTGAGGGCCATCATCACCCACATATGGCGGGAGGCGCGCAGGCAATGGGACATAGCCATGGCGCCTCCCCCGGCCACGCCGGCACCGGCCTCGACGCCCACAACGACGGTGACCTCGATGCACATGGCGGTCGACCCCGACAAGAAGATCCCCAAGACCTTCGCCCACTGGGCCACCCAGATCGACGTCTACAACAACCGCCTCCTCGACGGCAAGAAGCGGCGCTTCCCTGAGAACATGCTCGCTGGCGCGGAGTCCGTCCTGGCCAGGGTGTGGCATGAACACACCAAAACCAAGGCGGCTTTTCACGGCGTCCGGCGACGTCAACCCGCTGACACTGCCTAGGCAGGGTTCGTCGGCGGCGGCCGGCCAGGCGCTTCGACTTGTCAACGGCGAGGTGGTCTCGGTCGAGGATTTTGAGTGGGCTCCGCGGTCTCTGCTGGCAATCATCGACGGTGTCGACGCGGCCAGGTGGGCCCTCATACTCGTCGAGGTCGGCAAAGAAGAGGACGTTAACATGTTCGCTGACTGGTTCGTCGCCATCCCACCAAGCTCGACCAGGTGAAGCGGCTGTGGTTGAAAGCGTCGTGGGCCATCGCCCTGGGTATGCGGGCCGGCAAGACGTTCAAGGAGATGGCGGCGGAGGTCGTCACTCGTGGCAGGGGCTGCGGCGCCAACCGCCAGTACTGGCGCAGGACCTACGACGACGACTACCGAGGCAATCGCCGCGGCGGTGGCGGCAACCGTGATCGACGGGGTGACCGTGCAGAAGATCGCGACGATCGAAGGGAAGACCGCTGAGACGACCGTCGAGATGACCGTCGGGGAGACCGGGATCAAGAGTGGCGGCGCGGCGGCGGCAGAGGCTACCGCCAGCAGCACCAACAGTGGACACACGACGAGGATCGGCAAAAGCGACCGTCGCCAGTGGGATGCCTGGGGGCAACAGTCGGGAGCCACCGGCGGCAACAAGCGCAAAGACGACCGCCGCTAGGGACAGCACGGGGCCTCGTCGGATGACGGGGTACCCGGCCCTCCGACCAAGCGACTTCGACTCCGACAGCGCGCCCCCGACGGCAGGGAGATCATCCTCCTCTCCTTCTTCGACGGGATCGGCGCGGCGCCCTATACATCCTGGACCGGCACTTCGGGAAGCTAAAGGCGGCCTTCGCGTGGGAGATCGACGGCGCTTGCCGGAGGGTGGCCGAGGAGCGCCTCCCTTGGCTCAAGCAACGGGGCGACCTGACTAAGGACTCGGCGGATGACGTCGCCAGCACCATCGAAGATGTCGACCCCGACGGCGAGGCGATCATCGTCGTCACCATGGCGCCGCCCTGCCAGGACTTCAGCCTGATCAGGTCCGACGGCCCGGGGCACCGAGGCAAGAACGGCGGCCTCTTTCTCAAGGCGACCGGCTTTGTCGGCGGGGCGTCACGGTCCAACCCACCCGGCAGCGGGTCCAAAAGCTGCAGGCCATGATTTGCGAGGTGCTGGCTCGGCTTCCTCACCCAGGCGGTGTTCGGCGCGGTGGGGCGGGCGGCTATCCAGCCAGTACACAAAAGGGCGGCGCAACCAGGGCGAATGGACACCAACCTTACGCCAAAGCTGGTCGACGCGCTCCTTGCGTCGGCAGCGCTGCTGGACCACATCCAACCCAGGTTCGTCCCGTACGGCGAGCCCAGGCCGACGCAGGCCACCATCTTCGCAGACGCGTTCTTCGTCGACCAAGGCCACCACATCAAAGCTGGGCATGTGCCAGACGACGCTGGCAGACATCGGAACCAGCGTCGCC